AAAAAATCACCATCATGGACACGAAGGAAACACTTCTGTGAAGGAAATGAATAATAAACAAAAATGTAATTTAAAAAAATGGGAGCAAAAATCTCCCACAAAACAAAATAAAAAATCACCATAATGGACACGAAGGAAACACTTTACTATGAAGGAAAGTAATAAAAAAAAAGTAATTAAAAATATAGGGGAGCAAAAATATTCCCCCCTTAAAAAAAGAAAATAAAAAAGTCACCATAATGGACACGAAAGAAACACTTCCAGAAAGTAAATAATAATTTAAAAAAATGTAATTAAAAAAATATGGGAGCAAAAAAAAAACCAACAACTCCCCCAAAACAAAACAGAAAACCACCACCATGGACACGAAAGAAACACATCTATGAAGGAAATTAAGACTAAAAAAATGCAATAAAAATATATAGGTGCAAAAAACAAAAATGTCCAAAAAACAAACCCCAAAACTAAGCGGCACCGCAAGGGAGAGGATTGCAAACCGCCTGCACACACCATGCACATCAACGACACACAATGCAGATGCAAGAACCACAATGCACACAAGTGACTTGATTGCAATTAAAAAGTGGAGGAAATGCAGATAAAATGCAGCAGGGGAGCTCGGGATGCACTCAGGCTGACGACCCTGAGCATGCAAAAGGTCCCAATTTTGCATTTTCCCCCCGAAATCCCAGCTTTGGGGGGCCCCCCCCTCGCCTCGCAGACCCGCCCGCCGCAACCCGGGTGGGTGCTTTGCTCGCGGATGCACGAACCCTTGCAGAGATGGGGGAGGGGGAGCGTGCACAGATTGATTTTGCAAATTGCAAAGGGGACCCCACTCCGTGTCCAGCGGGCACCTCCCCGCGTGGGGACCCCGCAAACTCGCGCCCCCCGCCATCCAGCTCCTCCTCCAGCGGCCACGGCGATGCAGGCATTTCTCACCGGAAGTCGCCCCGGTAGCTCCCCGCGGGGGGAATAAAAAAGCAACACAGACTTTGCAGAGACCCTGCACGAGCAGCGAAAGGAGAAGAGCACCCCGAAAAACAAGATCGAGAACTTAGGGATCCCCCCGCGGCTGCGGGGAAATGCGGAGAGACCTACCTCGCGCGCCAGCGGCAACGCGGCGGCCATGGAGGACTCGGCCGAAGGACAAGCGCTACCTCTGCTTCCGGGGACGGACGGTACGGCGGGAGAACCGCTCCGTGCGGGAACATGGAACGCGCACTTTTAGGACCGCGCGTGTCGATGGTTCCGCCTACAGTGAAAGGCTAAGGTTTTTTTACCAATTTATCATTCTTTTGCTCCTTAGAAGTCTGGGTTTTCTTTTTCCTTTTTTTTAAAATTTAAATAGCATCCAGTTTATAACAAATATTTAGCATTGGCTTCCCATATTTCCCCCCCCTTTGTTTTTATCATAATTATGTTATCATTTAGGTGAGCATAAAAATCTGGGTTTTCTTCAATGCACGTAGGAACTGAAACCCCAGAGATGGCCAGGATGAGCAGATAAATTGTTTACCCTGATTTGCACCCTAGTCTTCAATGTGTGTGAACTGAAACAATATAAAATACCCTGGATTAATAAACTATTTTTTATTATTTCATTATGAGGGCTTATTTACCCTTTTTATTACTGTTAATTGTTTATCAGGCCACGCAATAAAGACCTGTTCATTTTGGGGGTCCAGTTTTTTCTGTGTCTCTCTCATACCTCCTCAACTGGTTTTTTTTGTATCATGACTCAGAGGAAGCTTCAGAATCTTTACCTCCAAAGAACAGCCTGGTTTCATCCTCTCCAAGATGAACCTGTTCATTTTCTTGGCAGTCCAATACTCTTCTCCAACATCATAGCTCAAAAGCATCAAATCTAAAAAAAAAAAACAAACACAAACAAAAAAAAGCATCAAATCTGCTTCTATCCTCCCTAGTCATTGTCCAGCTCTCTATCACATAGACTATATCAGGTGCACCTTAGTCTCCAGAGTGACACCATTGCTCTTCAGTACTTTGGAGAGGTCCCTCACAGCAGACTTTCCCAATGAAATTTATCTTTTAATTTCTCAGTCTGGAATTGCTTGATCCAGTCGTTTCTTTCTAACCCCAAGGACAAAGTTTCAAAGTGCTTTATACACAGTGGCGGGTACCATTTGGGATTGCCCACCCCCCACTCACAGAGTTCCAGTTTATCCAGGATTTCTCCAGCACTGGTTTGTTTTTGTGTTGTTCTGTCTTGGTTTTTTTCTGTGTGCTTGAATGATTGGGAAGAGTTTCTTTAGGTCAGCTTTGATCATCTGACTTCAGTGGTCAAAAAAAGCTTTGCATTGTCTGCCACTTTTGAAATTGGAGTATTTATTTGGTTTTCTTTCTTTTCTTTTTTTCTTTCTTTTTTTTTTTTTTGGTTGACATTTTGGACTTTTGTATCACGTTTTTTTTTTTTTTTTTTGGTTGACATTTTGGACTTTTGTATCACGTTTTAGCTGAGTCTCTTCTCAGATGCTTTATTTACAATTTTTATTCATAGTTTGTAAACCAAGCTGTCTGTCTCTGTCTTTGACTCTTTGGAGAAAACATTTGTTTATTAATTTTAATGAAAGCTTACAGAGACTTTGGATTTTCAGTCATTCATTGTTGCACTTTTCTCCCTGCACACTTTTCCGCACCAATTCACTCTTCTGTTTGAAAAGGCAAAGATAAATTATTTCTTTATCATATAATTCTTTTCCCCAATTCCACTCCACTATGCAGCCTTCGTTTTGAAAAGTAAAAGAAAAATTCTTTGTTAAACAATCCCTCCCCCTTGAGAAAAACATCTGATGCACATTACATATATGTAGGCATATTCTTTACTTAAACATCTGCTGTTATTTTTGTGATTTTTCTTATTTCTGCCACTTATAAGGAGTCCTAAGTTTGCCCTACTTTTTCAAACCATGATCTTTATATTTTCTTGTGGTTGTGTGTTGGTTTCTTTTCATCCTTATAGTTTTTCCTTTCGTAGGTTCTTCTTTTTAAAATCAATTTTTATTACTGATATTTTAAAGACAGTCTATAGAGAACTTGGATTTCAAGACATAGATTCTCGATACATCTTGATTGCGTTTTTGTATATTGTGTAGGATGTGAATCTTGTATTCTTTTCCTGCAAGTAGATTCTCTGTTTTTCTTGCATCCTTTTTTTCCCCTCCCAGCATCATTTTTAAAAGAGGCTGTCTTTCCTTTGATTTAATAGATCATCAGCTGTTTGTCACAGAACAAGTCTAAATGTTATTGACAATCTCTGAGAAGCCCAGTATAAAATTTAATGTTAATAATAAACCAAATGCTATAACAGGATGTGAGGGAGGCCTAATAGAGGCTGGAGTTCACCCTGAGTCAACAAGGCATTCCTGAAGAGTTAATATCTTCTTAGTTTGTACTTACTGAATCCTTCCCTCCTGAGATAAGCATAAGGTTAACAATAGAGAAGAAATTCGCCTTCTCTACACAAGACTTCCCCATGATCCCTTCTTTTTGTTTTATACTTCTTTGTGATTTTCCTTTGTATACCTTCCTGATGAGTCTCAACAAATACACAGAGAGGCATGGCTTGAACCCCTTAGTCCTCAGGACTGCTGGCCCCCTGTCTGTCCTCTGTCCTCTCTCATTCTGGGCTGTCTGCCTTATTCTTATTTTACCCTCGGTCTGCAACAACAATCGATGCCTTTCTAGTCTGCCTTAGTTTGTACCATTGGTGCAATGTCCCTGAAACTCAAATCCAGTATTATATTCCCTGTGTAAGCAGTCCATGTTGGGCGACATTCTTTTTTTTTCTCTCCCACATCACTGACATTTACATTTCATAGTTTAATGTCTTCCAAGGACGGTCTACCTCTTTGGCAACAGGACATGGCCTGTATCAGGCGCACCTTAGTCTCCAGAGAGACACCATTGCTCTTGAGTACTTTGGAGAGGTCCCTAACAGCAGACTTTCCCATTGCAATATGTCTTTTGATGTCCTGGCTGCTGGTGCCAAGAGTGTTGCCTGTGGAGTCCAGCAAACTAAAGCTGTGTACAATCTCAATCTCTTCACCATCCATCCTGATGCTGCCGATTGGTCCAGTGGTGAGAATCTTTGTCTTCTTGACATTGAGC